AAATTCGTATGTTACTCTTTTCAGATTCTTATACGATTCTTATAAGATTCTTGTAAGATTCTTACGAGAAACACGATCAAATCTCCTACAGAAAAATCCCAATATAGTGCTGAAAAAAGTTCGGCACTACCAATGTGGACGGCATGCTGTGTTGCACCGATATGTACTATCCCATACAGAAGAAAAAACCGCCTAAAAAAGCGGTTTTTTTTACGCGGTCGTTGACCGCGGTTTTGTGCGGGCAAAGCGATTATTTTGAAACAAATTCGGGTGACTACAGCGGTTTTTTACATAGCTATTTAGCCGCTTTGATCGCTTTTTTAGGCGGTTTTTTCTTCGATTTTTTCTGTATGGGTAGTACATACCGGTGCAACACAGCATGCCGTCCACACTGGTAGTGCCGGACTTTTTTCAGCACTATATTGGGATTTTTCTGTAGGAGATTTGATCATGTTTCTTACAAGAATCTTATAAGAATCGTATAACATATGTTATAACAATTGTGAGTATCCTTGGTGTAATATCGCTTTGCCGTTAGTGACTCTCAGGATGTAGCGATGATCAGTTCGGTTCTGTTTCACACACGCAGGATTGGGGCTCAGCCATTCCGCCTCATTCGCAGAATATTAGATTGGCTCTAACAACGAACTGATCCCAGTGATAATATCTACGGATATACATTCTCTGAAAGTCCAAGCGTAATGTTTTCTTCACATACGGCAAACGTTACCTTACGGTAAAACTCACTAGCGAGCTATGAAACATTTAACCACTATCTCTTTTATTCTGAGATCAAATGCCAGTTATATGGCAAACCATAACTGAAAAATATATGAGAAAAAACTATTAATATGGTTCTTATGACAAGCAGAAAGGATTTACACAAAGACAGGGCGTGTTAATAAAACTGCTGTGTACACGTTTGATCTCAACTTCAAAGTGAGTCTGAGGTGAATGATTGACCCTGACTGCATTATGTTCCCGACGAGAAAACCGGGTAAAATACGGTGAAATCAGTGTTTCAGCTACCTTCGAACAATCTTTCTTTTCAAGAACCATTGCATGTAAGTCACGACCGACGTTCTTCAATCGATGTTCTCGAAACTTTTCCAAAGTAGGGGGCTTTTGTAGACCAAACATTTTAAGGAATTTTGTAGTAACTAGCCTAAACTGTCCTCTTCAAAATGGGAGCCAAGCGATACTTTGATTTTGAGTGATCTGGCCGTGGTATCTGATTTCCATGGAGCACCAGGACTGGCACACAGTGGCCTCCAGTGACCTTGAAAGAGGCAGACTAACATAAGGTAAGATAAAATAAACGCTGCCATCAGATTTAGCATGCTCGACTATGTACTTATCTTCTTCTTTCAAGGTCACCGGAAGCCACTGTGTGCCAGTCCTGGTGCTCTATAGAAATCAGATACCACGGCGAGATCACTCAAAATCAAAGTATCGCTTGGCTCCCATTTTGAAGAGGACAGTTTAGGCTAGTTACTCACAAAAAAATCAATCTATTGCTGCTTTATCGCTTAGAGTTACAAAACGGTTTTCTAGAGATCTCCTAGAAAATCGATCAGTGAGAAGTACTTTCAACTTTATTTTAGTTATAAAAAGATAAGTTAAAGCCTTGGCTATCTAATCGCAAAAATCAGAAGTCTCTATCGCTTTTCGTTCTTCAGTTATTCAAAACCACTGACCGGCATATGAAAATCCATCAGAAGGGAACCTATTGGAAGTACTCTCGGTGAAACTCGCACATAGAACCGCGTTAATAATAGAATTAACTTGTTGTTGTATTACCGTTGAATTCCTTGTGAAAAGTTGCATATCAAACTGGTTTTTATTGAAATTTTAATATACTATAGCAGAAATGTACTGATTGAAGCAAGCCTCTAGAACTCGGTGCCCCCGACCGAGCCCCCCAAGCCATTTTAGCGAAACCCACAAATCGCAGGATGGACTATGATAGTACACCTGGTGTACTTCAGCAGTATACTGGGGGGCTTCGGAATTGCCCCGTTTCGATGGAGAAAATCATTTCTCAAAATCGCTCAAAATGGTCATTTTTGGGCAAAAATGCAACTTTCAAAGCGTCTGTGTTGGAAACGAAAGCACCGGAGACCGTCAAACGTTTACCAGATATACTTTGGCATATAATCTATTTGAAAATTTTTTAAGTGGGTTTTTTAAATCTGCGAATTTTTTAATCTGCGAATAACGTCAATCCAGCTGAACAAAAGTCTATGCCTCCTCAAGTAACACCCTCTCAAAAGCGGCAACAACCGCTACAGCCTACAAACCCACTCATCTATCCAACAAAGCTTCAGCATCGCCACCTCTGACAATGTGTTCGCGACTGGACCGCTACCACCACGATCAAAATGACAACGGCACAACAATCAATGATCATGCAGCTGGTGAAGGATCCCCACCAACTGACTATTCCCTTACCTTGTAAATGTTCCATTACACCAGATGACATTTCACTGTCGTCGCATCAATGATCATTTGGCGACGATGAGTTTCACAGCAACTGAATCAATGATCATGCATCTGCCCGGGCAAAGACTGCCGGTGGCCGGGCGGCGTTTAGTCTAGCCGACCTCTGGATACGCCAATAGTTAAAAAAGTCCTTATGTTAATAAGTCGATCATGGAATAGAATGCGGAGTGTTACACCCAGTGTAAAAATGATCACAGCATGCTCGTCTACCTATAAGAGAAACCGATTCACATGACATGTTATGGCTAACACTAGTGACGCCTTCAAATTCACGTTATTTGTCATTAAATCCTCTGGCTGAGGACGGAACAAAAAGAGACTTAATGCTTTACACTCGAAAAAATTCTTCTTGTGTACAGCTTTCTCTTTCGAATCATCTATTTGTTCTCGGCTATGCCTGATCGTATGGATCTGGAAAAAGACGATTTGAATCTTTAAGAGCTGTAGATCAATGAACTTCAACTAACATAAGCTTTTTTCAGCTAGCCTGTTAGGTTATGAGTAGTTAAAAATAGTGGCAAATTCGTGGGTGGTAGGGCAGTGCCCCACGACCTTTAAAAAAATCCATCCACGATAGTTTAAATTTTTTCCACAACTGAAATACAGTTGCTCAATTCTCACTTTCTTAAGAGAGAGACAATACAATGTATCTGTACTTTTATGAAAAGGACAAAAATCTTAGTGGAAATATTATTTTTTGTTTTTCCCGGTGCCCGGGCAAAAACTGCCAGTGGCTGGGCGGCGTTCGGTCTAGCCCACCTCTGGTTACGCCACTAGTTAAAAAGTCCTTATGTTAATAAGTCGATCATGGAATAGAACGTGGAGTGTTACACCCAGTGTATACAGTGCTGACCTTTCCAAGACACAATCCGACAATCTTAATGCTGTTTTCGGCTGATATTTAAGCAAAGTTTTTTTCTGGTTATATGGAATGTAGCCTAGTTATTATGTTTTCAAGCTTTTTAGCCGGGGAATATGCCACAATGTTGTTCCTTTTTTATTTTAGTTTCGTGAGATACATAAAGGATTAGATTAGTTTTGATCTCCTGAAAAAGTCAATTTTCTGGTACATTTGCATCGCTTAATGAGAGTAGGACTGTTTAGTGAAGCATATAGTCTTTCGTACACACTGATGTCAAATAAGATATCGAAAGATAGATTTAGGTATATATAAGTGTTACACTTTGAAAAAAGAGGTGCATTTTTAAAAAAAAATGCATTTCAGGTATCTTAAAGACAACCTCATTTTTTATCAATAAGAAGATATTTCCATGTAAAAGACGCGTCATGAGGCCTTATAGAATAGCCTGAATTCCAGTTTTATGCACCCACAGTGTCTTCGTGAGACATCGTGAATGGATAATCGAGGCAGCTTGGATGCATTCTCCCATGTAAATTAAGTGCATTTTTGATGCATAAAGTGAGGTACCCCGCTATCCTTAAAGCATCCAGGATGCATTAAATACATTGAAATCCCATACAAAAGCGGGCTATCACGAAAAACGTGCAAAAAAGAGATGGATAAGTCTGTCCAGAATGAACAAATAGGATAGAAAAAATGTTAGTTTCTCTCCTTGGATATAGACGGCCATATTATTTGTTCCCGTAAATCAATGGTAATAAGACAATCATTTGGCTAGCCTTAACAAAAAAAAGAATGCCTTTGCACTTGCCATTCTTTACCTTTTTACAGAAGTCACATTTGTTCATCAAACACAACTGTTAGATGAGTAATACAGATGTTGATCAATTAAAGATATTACCGACCTTATCGTAGTTTTTTCAAAATCAGCAAGTCAATCACAGTTGGAACCGATCCGATCGGAAGATCAGACGGAACTGATAGAAATTTTCAACTCACCCACTGTCGATCGATTTACCTTGTGAAAAATTATGTAGTTTATTTCGTTATATTTCCGAAAATTTAAAATTTCGATTTTTACTTAAAAATCAACTTTTTTGTACTAAAATGGAAGTTTAAATCAAGTTCTTTTCTTTACATAAAGTATCATCTTCTCCGTCAGCCGGTTTTCGTCATTACAGTTTCGTTTCGTTTCAGGATGAAAAAGAAATAAGTATGAGAGAATACGATTGCAAAAGGATTGCAAAAGTGGTTCATTACTACTTTGTAATACTTTGAATTAAAGTGTATTCTGTCACACTTATTATGTAATCGATTTACTTACTCTTTAGAATGAGGGCCATCAAAAAAGTATTTCTTCCTTGTAAAATTTACTTTTGTCAACGAATTATTTTCGCATTCTCTGTAACTTTATTAGAATGTAGACGAACAAAATCAAAAGTATTTTACTTTCGACTATAAAAAAAACGAAGAAAAACAAGTAAACAGTCGTAAGAGGACAACAACAAATATAATCTTAATATATAAACAACAAATAAACTTATTTAGCTTTCTTTACAAAAAAAATGAGAAAAGAATGGAAAAAAAACACGCATTTCTTTTACACATATACATATAAAAACGTGGAGTTCATATTTTATGTCCGTTGTTGTTGTTGACCATAGTAAGAACTCATATTCGTCGTATAAGCATCATACGGCATATAGTCGGGACGTCCTGATGGTTGTCCACCACCTAGCATTTGAGGAGGTCCCCGTTGTGGTTGCTGTGTAAGTATTGAAGGTGGAACTGCGGATGGTGTATGGGATTGCTGTTGAGAATATGGATCACTTCGATAGTTTGAATAATAATCATATTCATTTCTAAACAAAACATGTATCAAAGTAGCACTTCTCAATTCAGCTTGATTTAACAAATGGCTATGGAAATTAAACAGTGCTGCATTTAGATATTAGAACTTTTCAGAGTTGATCAGCTCTTCTTTTCAGACAACTAAGGTGTCATAGATAGTCTTACATTCCTTAGAAAAAATTCGATGCATATAAAATAACTAACCGTTGTTGATTAGATTGATTAGAAAATTCAGAATCACGCGGCTTATTTGGATAATATTGTTGATAACGATCGTAAGATTGATCATAACCTTGTGAATTGAAAGTTTGAGGTGGCAGATTTTGTTGCGACATACTTGAGCCTGTATTTCCACCCATGCCGCTATAAAACGAATCATTCGAATTAGGACCAAGACCTCCACGATCATACATATTTCTAAAAGTAAATCATTAATAATCTACTTTTGTCTTTCACGTTTTTCAGTTTTACCTTCCACCAAAATTATCTGTCCGTTGTTGATTCTGTCCATAACCTCTGTAATCACCTTGACTATTATTAAAATTGTTTAAATTATGGTTATTGTAACTACCTCCACCACCTCGATTCTGTGGAACATTGAATGCTGCAAAATTACTATTGCTATTACCATTATCACGTTGATTAAATCTTCCTTGATCCGGATAGGGTCTCGATCTATCGTAGGACTGATTGTAACCGTTATTACCACCTCCATATTGTCGAGAATCGTGTCCACGCATCGGTCCCCCTCCTCCAAAACGTCCATTACCGCCGCCGCCACCTCGATTCGATCGTCCTCTAGAAATATTCAACATCATGTAGTATATTCACTTCATTATAAAAAATACCAACGTTCATTTACCCTTGCCTTAGACCACTCGTAGGCGTTGGTTCGCCCGGGCGATGTCTTACGGTGCTGGTAGATAACTAAACGAGAAGGATATCAATTAGCCTATTAAAAAGTTGAAAATCGACTACTTACTTCAACCCTAATTTTTTTTCCTTTATATTCCTTATTATTCAGTGCAAAAGCGGCTTTTTCTGCTTCTTCGATACTTCCATAATGCTTCAAGGAAGAAATGACAACATGAGAATGAATTAAAGTAAAATATAAGAGAAAAGTTACCTACCACGAAGCCATAATCTTTAATAACAGATGCTTCAAGTATTTTTCCAAATGGTTTAAATAATTCTGTTAATTCATGATCTTGTGTACGCTGATCTAGATTACCGATGAATAATTTAGTTTTCACAATTTTCGGTGATTGTGAGTTGTTGTTATTGTTGTTGATCTGATTATTCGAAGCATTGTTATTCAGGTTCATTTTATGTACAATCGATGTGGAAGAAAACTCGAATATCCACAGAAAAAGGACAATCTGTAATAAAAAAAATATTATTAGATGAATATTTGCTCAAAAACGGTTATGCAGCAGGTAAGAAGCTTTAGAACTTCTTCCAGACTTGCCTTTGACCGAGTACTAATTTAAAAAAAGCAAAAAAAACAACACTCTTCTAACTAGAACCGAGACTAGTTATCTCTTAGAGTTATCAGTGATAGAAGTGTCGGCGGCGTATATTGATTAAAATTTTTTCATAAGAACTACATTCGCATTTCTCAATCACGAAAGACTAAATCTCGCAGAAAGTAATTAGCAAAAACCACAAGCAGAATAAGAACGAAGCAAAGCGTAAACTAATTACCTAGAACTACGATTTCTTCGAAAAATATCACTTTCTTGATAGAGAAGTATCCTATTCGACGAGAATGTAACATACAAGTTTTGAAACGCAGTACACTGGACTAAAACTTAGGACTCTATTAAACATTCGATGTTTTTTTTTATTGCTACTATAAGCCATCTCAGAGTACAGTTTCAACGTTGATCCTACTTTACGAAATCTTTACTTGAACAGAAAAATCTTATTTTGATGAAGATGGAAAAAGCGATAAGAAAACTTTTGTTCTACGTGATCAAACTGGTTTACTATGCAACCTGACACGTTTTCTTAGAAAGCAATATGAATTAAAATAAATATCACGTCTTAATTTTTGTCGATTAAAAATATATTCTTGTTCATTGTATGAGTTACAAAAAATCGGAGATTTGTTAATATTAGACATTTATCGTTTGTGTTAATATATGGTATATGTTTTCGCAATATAGGTAGTTTGTGATTTGTGGATAACGAACGAATGAGTGCGTTTCGGAACGGAAGGCGCGCACACAATGATAGTGCAAAAACGCGATTCTCGATTTGCTTTCGACGCAACGCATGTGTTCTCTACAATATAACAAAGAAACAATAAAAGTATTCGGTCAATTACAGAATTTAACGAGATATTACATTGTTAAAAAATGAATCAACGCAGATTAACTAGCGATACGCGTTATTTTTTATATTACTAATAGAAGTACGACGAAAAAAAAATAAAAAAAGAGATATTGAAAACACTCTTCTGTAAACTATTCTGCTGGCTAGTTTTGCGGAATAAAATTTTATCTTACCTGACCATCTGATATTTTCATCTTTATCACTCTTGAATAGGTAGGTACCGCTAAAAGAAACAAAAAGTTTGATTATAGAGGTTAGATGAATGACTGTAACTTTACTAAAATGTTGATACGATTTTGTCATGGATTACATATTAAAAATTATTTCAGGATTAAAAATGAAATGAGATGCAGAAAACTAAACAAATTTATAAGATTAAGAAGAAAACCGTTTTAATCGTCTTTTCTAGCTCGTCGTCATTATTGGGTTTATCTCCGATTTATCACAAGGATCATGGTCATCAAAGTACCATATTTGGATCTGGACGAATTTTTTCTAGCCACAAGTCTTCCATTTTAAATGCTTCATAAATACAACACTGTGTAAACCAGCCGTAATTGCATCGTCTCTTTGTTAAACTGACTGAGAGATATCAATGAAGATGACCCAATATCATCATTGATCGCTTTCTAGAAATCTCACTTGCCAATTGTCTTGCCTACGATCTCCCTAAAATTTCATTCGATCAAGCTAAAAATGTTATCAGAGATAACTGGTGAAGTATCTCAAAGGTTAAATTTTGTTTTTTTGGAAAATATTGTTTTGTTCAAAAGTTATAGAGAAGGAAACTCTTTTAAACCTTCGTTTTTGATTTTAAGGGCTCTATAGCACGACCCAGAAGCACCTTTTTCGAAAAAAATCAAACCACTGGACAAACTTCTGAAGTAACTGTGGTAATCCGGCTTGATCGGATGAAACTTTCAGGGGGCGTGGCGTTAGTAAGGCCTATTGAGTACATTAGTAGAAAAAGATGTTTTGAACCAGAAACGTTACAACACGAAACTCACTTTTCTTAGGGTTTTTAGCAAAATACATATAACTCTATCAGAAAACATGGTGTAGAGTGAGGTTTTATCTCGTTTTGTTCACGACTCTTCACTCCACAAAACGGACTATTTGAAAAAACTCTCAAGTGCCAAAATAAAGTAAGCAGTTTTTAAAAATCGAGTTTTTTAGAGTAAAGTGACAAACTGTACAAAGTTCTGTCGCTCCAGTGACAGGTCGAGGAGAGCTCGGAGTGATCTTATTTTGTAGAGGACATGCATCACATTTGTCTCAAAAATAAATTTTTTTCTAAAATGAGGGAGATATATCCATAATAAGCATCCTTGGTTTTTAGTTGAGACTTACGCTAATTGAACCAAAGTCATTTTCTCAGTTGAAGACATGTCGAACATTCACTTTGAAACCAAGATCACATGGATAAATGACTTTCTTTTGTGTTCTATGACTATGTTCAGTTGCTCTTTGCAATACCAAATTTTCAATGCCTATAAAAAACGAGACAGTCAAATTTTAGCTAATGTTCCTCAAATAAAACATACCAGTTCGATTTCTAATTATATTTCTTAATTGAATACTTAGCAAGATTCCAACCGCAATGATCACACCAAGCGCAAGACTAATTGTCATTACAGTAGAAAATAGTCCCCAAAATGTAAAAACAATAAATGGTTCCTGTTTAACACGATAATACGTGTAATGCCGAACGAATAATGCACGGTACACAGTTGGACATAACATTAGCAATGCATGTATGCAACCAAGTATAACATAAAACAAAAAATAACAAAAGTTCGTCTGGTTGATATGTCCTACACATGTGTTCATCCAAGGACACTAGAATGTAAATATTTGTTTAATTCTTCTTGAACAATATAGCAAATATGGTCTAACTGACATGATGGTCTAGTTTCATTACACATCGCTGGCATTTCTTGCAATGATGTGAACGAGGTGCTTTGTAGTTTTCACATATTTTACAGTACTGCAAATATTGAATCCCTTCTTTATCGACCGGTGACCAGTTTTTTGAGACAAAGCCTGGTCCACGAAAAACTGCGCAAAAATAATTGTAGAAGATAATGCATGGATGTATCCAAAAGATAAGAAAATTAACAACACTTAGATAATCGGTTGCCTCTGGAGGATACCATTTTGTTAAACAGTTGAACGCATTCACTGTTATCCAAGAGATTAAACTAATAGCACAAATAGGACCATAATGAGCAAGTTGATCTATCCGCCCAGAACTCGTACCCCAACACATATCTAAAAACATAAAATTTTACTGTTCAGCTTGAAGGAAAGAAGTTGAATAAAACTCAAGAGTTTTTCAGTTTTTCTGCGTTTTTTTCCCAAGAAGAATTTAAGAAATTCATTTATTTAATCTTTGTCTGCCATATTATGAAAAGTACTTAACCTCAAAATATATGTGCTTTTCGTGCTACAATTGGTGTACGCAGAACAAATGGAAACAATTGGTAATTCATTGACTAAGATAGTGCTTTTTTTTATTTAGATACGCTGATTTGACATTATTTCGACATCTCAGATGTAATCATATGTATTTTTCCTTTAAAATTATTGTTATTTAAGTTTTGATGTTTGAATACGTCAAAGCGGACTTTTGTCACATCTAAATCTACCACAATTTTCTGACTAGTTCGGCTTGGGATGTGTTATTTACCTACGCAATACTTTTATTCTTGAGAGCAATATTTTTTTCACGTGAGTGCAGATTATTGACGATAAAACAACTTGCACTTGACGGTTTGCCAAACATAAGTCGAGCTGATAACAAGAACGTAACTTTTATGGTTGCCATGTCTTCTGATTTATTAGAATTTTCAAATCTATTGAAAGTATGATTGCAAAACTTCTCTTTCTCATGCGTTGCTAAATCTATTCGTATTTTAGAAATTTTCGAAAGATCGTATATTATTTTATGAAATCTCTAGTTACGATTTGCATAAAAAAACGCCGGAGTATTCCTTTAACGTAGAGTTTAATATTTTTTTATGAAACGTCAATCTGAAGCTGTGGAAGAAAATTTGTACGAGTTCCTATACGTAAACTGCCCTTCAAAGTAGAGCCAACTATCTGAGTAAAAATAAAATGATTTGAAAACAATTTGAAATTTACGTACACAACGAATTAGTAAATTCTTCGCAAACTCATACTGCTGCCGATAATTTACAGTAAAATAGTGAGCAAATAAAGACATCGATTTAGACTAGACATGCACCAGTTACAGTTAACTGTAAATGCTCATAACTGTATAATTGTTATAACTGTAACTGTCATAACTGTGTAACTATGAAAACTGTAATTGCTCATAACTGTGGACAAATATTCTAGAGTGATCACTCTAGAATATTTGTCCACAGTTATGAGCAATTACAGTTTTCATAGTTATACAGTTATGACAGTTACAGTTAACTGGTAAAAACTGTAACTGATGCATACCTAATTTAGACCGAATGGAAAAAACACTGTGCGATGTAAGCAATGGGGAGAAAACTGATTTGAATCAATCCAAATCTTTCCAACTCTTTCAAATCTTTCATATCAAGTTGATTTGAATCTCTAAAATCTTTTGAAATCTTCAAAGTCCTCAAATCAGTTTTCTCCCTCTTGGATGTAAGCCGATCGTAAGACTGACGCCGACTGGCTAAAATGTTTTTTCAGTCGGCAACAACGGCTGTAGGCCCCAACTATTTTTTTGCTTTCGGTGGCTTATTGACTTGCACCTTGAGAATGTATTCTTTGTTCTTCTATACGCCTTACATTGCAATTTTGATGCGCATAATTTAATATGTTTTTGCTTTCAGATAAAAATATGACTCGTTCACCGAAAACTCGAACAAATAATTCAGACACTCGTAGAAAAAAACGTAAACGTTCATCATCTTCGGAGTCCGATAATTCTGATCATGATCAACGTTATCGTCGCCGACAACAACAAGATCATCGTTCAAATATTCGTATTAAAGAAGAACCAATCACTGATGATGATTCTCGAAGAAAAGAGCGACCACCCTTTCCTAGACAACAACAACAACAACATTCGAATAACCGTCAAAAAGAAAAATCTTCGTATGAATGGGGTCCTCGCCAGCAAGTCAAGAATGAAGATGAACAATCGAAAATTGTTGAAAGAGAAAAGCCAAATTTTGGTCTATCCGGTGCACTGCTAAAAGATACAAATTTATATCGTGGTGTTGTTATTAAGTACAATGAGCCAATCGAAGCACGTAAACCTAAGCGTCGTTGGCGTTTATATGTATTTAAAGGTGAAGAAGAACTACCATTGTACCAGATACATCGTCAATCGGCCTATTTATTTGGTCGTGAGAGAATGATTGCTGATATCCCGATTGATCATCCATCTTGTTCAAAACAACATGCCGTATTGCAATATCGCCTAATGGATTATAAACGTGATGATGGTTCATCGGGTAGACGTGTTGTTCCATACATCATTGATTTAGGCTCAGCTAATGGGACATTCATCAATAATAAAAAAATAGAAAGTCAACGATATTACGAACTAAAAGAAAATGATGTGATTAAATTTGCATTTAGTACGAGGGAATACGTATTGTTACATGAAGATTCAGCCACCAGTATTTTGCGAGAAGGTGAAGAAGATGAGGGTATCGAAAATCCTGAAAAAGATACTAAAGAAGAAGTTGATACTAAAAAATAGAGTTTCTAATGTTTGTTTTGTATGTCGACATATCTATTTTCATTTTTGTTGTTGTTTATGTTCTTTTTTTGTTTACTCATTTTCTGTATATTCACAGGCTACGTTGAATTAATCATTTTTTCCAAAAGAGTAAGATCTTATTTTCGACCTGACTAACATTATCCCTGTTTGGAGTTGATCTCTTTAGCCCTTATTTGTAACATCTTCACTACTTGTGATCAATTTTTCTTTCCTTTGCATTTGAAGAGTGTTGTTTGCGGAAAATCGAAAGTATGATTAAACTTGTTCACTCGATCTATTGTTTCAATTATTTAAAATGAACCAAATTATCAAAACAATTTCTTTTTATGAACAGAAAACATTTGGAAAATGTCGATGAAATAACGTATCACCAGAGGTGCAGAATCTACCCGTGAGATCGGGAAACTTCCCCCGACGAAAATTCCAATTTTTCAAAAAAAATTTCCCTGAATCAATAAATTTTTCCCCTGACAACCGTCGGAACAAACAGGCAGATTCTGCAGCTCTGCGTATCACATTGTTATTAATGAACATCAAGACATTGGTAGTTACATATTTATATAAACATGAAATATAGCTGTCGGTAATATGTACAATTTAAAAATAACTAAAGTTATATGAGAATAATTTAGTAAAATGTTCGTCTAATTAGCAAAACGAGAGCAAGATAAATTTCATGAATGAATCTGCCGGTCAGTAGTCCATCTAATGATAAAAATATCAAAAAAAACTAATTTCTCCGATTAAGGATGATTATCTTATCGAGAAATGATTAAATGAGAGAATTATGTACATTTTAAATTATCATTAAACAGTAAACCAATGGTTTGATAATGAGATAAACTCGATCATTTTACAAACGAAAGACCTATCTATATATTCGTCGGTAACACACTTATCTGTTGTGAATGAGAAACGTTTGTGTATTTTTTTTTATTGACGATGCTTCATTTTACTTGTCAATCCTATGATATTCTTAATATAGAAAAATCCTTTTTTTGTGTACAGGACTCTGCATTAAACTGTGATTGGAAAAAAACCTAACATCTCTTTGTTTTTTAAACATTTTAATAAACTGGACTACGTGAGAAGAAATTCAATAATAAAATGTCATCGAGATGAAATTTTTATTTGTTCATAACACGTTATTTTCATTTGAAGAATATGTTATTCCGTCGTCTTATTTTATTACCGTGTAAAAGAACAACCACATCATTTTTCAAAAGATTTCAGTCTACTCAATTTTATCCAATCAATGATACATTCTTTGGTTTAACAGACGATCAAAAACAGGTATTTCAGTACACAACGTTGACACTTGTTAACTCATCAATGTTTATAAAAATCTTTTTTAGTTGATATAGAGTGAAACTAATTTCTGTAACCATACTTATTCTCGTTAAGATATATAAATAAACAGATGTTTTGTATTTTATTATTTTAGTTACGTGACACAACGTTCAATTTTGTACAAAAAGAACTTGCACCAAAAGCAAATGATATTGATCGCACAAATACATTCAAAGAACTACGAGTAAGAAAATGTTTCATGCCAATACTGCTTGTTTAAAGTAATTTATTTTAATTTAATTTTTAGGAGTTTTGGAAAAAAATGGGTGAAATTGGTTTATTAGGCATTACTGCACCAGGTATGATGTTCACTACCATATTTTATCACATTTTTAAGTGAATAGTGTGACTTGTCACAATTATCTATATGCTACAAAATCTATTCAGTTAATATTTTGATTTATCGAACGTTAAAATGATTTCGTCATTTTGATTGTGTTATCACTTTTTTCGCACTTTTTTGATCAAAGAAAAACTATTTACAAATGTTTTATTTTATCTATTTTTCAACGAGAAATTATAGGAAAACAGTTGACTAATGTTTGGATTTGAACAAGTTTTCTTCAACTAAAACTAGACTTCATCTTAGTATGTTTATCTAAGAGCGAGAGATTTATGAATAACAAGCCTTGACATTGTGTCGAGACAAATATATTCACGAAGGCCATGTACAATACATTTGTATCTGATAGGTAAATATAATTTAAAAATGCCGATAACGTCTTCAAGGTAAACAAGAAAGTTAAAATTTGTCAAGGTTTTTTTCCTGCAGAAATTGAAAAACATTAATTAGTTGAAAAAAAACCTAGTGTCTATTAATGAGGTGCAATGATAACATCATTGTTATTGCTGTAAAAATAATTTCGTGCTTCGTTGTAGTCAATTATGTTGATCGTACTTGTTTAAATAGTTATTTATTTTCGTTGTCCTTTGGTGACATTGAAAAGTATATTTCTGGTAAACAGAAAATAGTAATACATCTACATTCGACTATGCTATTATGATTAGTCACGTTAAACATACTGTGTCTATTCTTCTCTAACTTAGTCTTACTGCAATCGTTAGATTAGCATTGCTGTGATAATAAAAAAGTTAAAATAGCCCGCTTATTCATTTAAGGATGGGCCAGAATGACTGAAACGTTCCAGTAGTGATAAAGCGCTTCACTAATTCTGACCCACCCTTTAACTTAGTAACAGTTTTGTGCTTGTACAATACCTAATTTTTGAATAATTCTAAAAAAAAACAATTGAATAATTTTTTGAATAATTCCTCCACTCTATCTTCCTTCGCAATAATCCGAAGTTCAATGTTAACTGAACTGAATCACTTTTTAATGTTTTTAGTCGAGTATGGTGGCTTGGGTCTACATTATACGGAACATTGTATTGCCATGGAGGAAATAAGTCGTGCTAGTGGCGCTATAGGACTAAGCTATGGTGCACATTCCAATCTATGTGTGAATCAACTCGTTAGAAATGCGAATGATGAACAAAAAGAAAAATATTTACCCAAAGTAAGCTAAAAGATCTTTTATACAAAAACAAAAACAAATTGTCTAAAAATTTTTAATTCTTTTTTAGTTAATTAGTGGCGAACATTTTGGTGCCTTGGCTATGAGTGAAACTGGCTCTGGTTCGGATGTGGTTTCAATGAAATTGAGAGCAGATAAAAAAGGTCAGTGATTTATACTTTATTTAAAAATTAGCTAATTATTATTCTCTATGTAAATGGTGTTCACTATTGATCAAATATGTGTATTTTTTCCTTTGAATCTGTTTATATGAATCATAAATCTGATCTTAGAAAACATTAGGCGACAAACCAACATTAGTATTAGCTTAAAATACACTTGTCAAATACAAAAAAACGACTATTTTTCCTGTTGATAATGTCTTGCTATGTTTATGTGCAGTTCAAATTCATCTATAATCAAACATTAACGAAAAAAAGAAATTGTATCTTATCAAAATTACTATTTTTCTTCTGCTCTTTCTTCTTTCAAAACATTAAGTCACTCCTCACTGTATAATAAAAAAGAAAAAAAAGAAGCAAGTCACCTATATGCATAAATGTATGTGTATATTCTAACCTAGGCTAGTTGAAGAGGTTACACACACACACGGTCGAATAATTTTCTATTGATTGAAGATTGATGAGTTAATTCATTATGTTGATGGTGATCATTTTTTTGTTTTAAATACAGAAAGTAAACGTCTAGCTAAAACAAGAAACTTGTAAGTATATATACAAAAAAAGAGGTTTATATAACGCGAATCTAGCACACAATTCATTGATTCCATTTATAGCGAATAATTTCGTTATCATGATTAACAGTGGTGGTCAACAGTATTATTCGATGCCTCCTACGGGACCGTACGGTTTTGGAGGACCTTTAACTCCATTTTCACAAGCTATTGGCAATGGCTTACCTCCTCAACCTGGTGTACTTCCCCCTTATTATTCATCAACCGGCATCCAACAACAAACGATTTCATTGCCAAATCGCCGTTATCCTCCTAATCATAATTATAAACTTTACTATTTTGATGGTCGTGGTCGAGGAGAAGTAATTCGTCTGATATTTTCATTTGCCGGTGTTCCATTTAAAGACAAACGTATGAAAGAAGACGAATGGCCTACACTGAAAGATCAAATGCCATTGAATCAGGTACCTGTTTTAAAAATCGATAATGGTTTTAAATTACCTCAAACAAATGCGATCGTACGTTATTTAGGCAATGAATTTCGTCTATTTGGTAATAATAAATTTGATCATGCAATTATCGATAGTGTTTTGGAAACTAATCGTGAATTAAAAGAGAAAATATTCGCATTGATACATGCCATGAATCCTGATCAACAACGTCAAGTTGTCAAGAAATTTTTAGATGATGGTGAAGCTAATATACATTTAAAACGATTAGAAAAATTATTTGATAATTATGGTAGACATGGTCCATTTTATCTTGGTACTCACGTATCATTAGCTGATCTTATTGTTTATGATGGTCTATATAATATTATTGATGCTGAAGCAAAATTCTTAGATAATTATCCAAAATTAAAAGAAAATAGAAAGCGTCTAGAAAAACATCCTCAAATGGCTAATTATCTAGGATTAAATCAGAAACATAAACAACGATCACCACATTTACGTCGTGGTAAATCACCAACACCTGTGAATCAAACAAGTGGTGGTGGAAGAGGTAATTCGCACGAACGAAAACGTCAACATGGCGGTCATCATAGCAATAATGGGCCAACTGGTGACGAAAATCGTCGTACCAGTCATCACCATCGACACCATCATCGAACAAGACAATCTAAATCGCCAAGTGTCGCAACCAATAATCAGAATATACGAAGACCAAGTGATGTTACTCCATCACATCAATCTACACGTTCTCCGATTAATGTACCTGATAGTACATCAATTCGAAACGGCTAAAAACATTGATTTTAACCTTATTGTTACTAGATATAATAACGTTTTGTAGATATACTTGGAGTAAAATGTGTTTCCTTCAAACATTTAGGAAGTTGAGTATGAATGGATTGTCTGTCTAAGTAGTGTATTTATTCTAGTTTTTTTGTACATCATTTAGATTTTATAGCAAATTTTCCTTGTATCAGTATAAGGAAGCATTGTTGTATCAAACAGAAACCTCCCTTCCATTTTTTTTATACAACGTTGCGAAAAACTATAGGACCGGATCGATCATATCTTTTACCTTTCACTTTCTCTTTTATAAAAGGTTCGAAAAGGAAGAAAAACGTCTAAACCTATGCATTCGACTGTCCCCATCTCGAATATGTCATCAGAGTTTTCGAAAGTTTCTTATTTTTTCAAACAATCTCCAGCGTTTTCTTATGAATAATTATTATAGGACCATCTAATTTTTTTCTTTTGTGAATGAGTATGAATGGGTTTAAATGGTAGCATTAGAAGGAGCATGAAACACTGAGTATAACTTATACATTTTAAGTGACATGATTATAGAGTTTTAATGAGTTTTAAAAACCGTTTTTTTATAGGGTTCGTTGATATAGCGTTTAAGACAACGAACGAGAGAAGGATCGTTTTAGATTTAAATCTATTTATTTCGACAACTAATATGATCATTTCGACTAATTACAAGTTGTATTCACACACACACACACAAAAACAGCAGTCAAATAAAAAAATAAGAAAGAAATGTATTTTGTTTAAACATATTAAAAAAACCAAATAAATAGTAAAAGTGTACAACAGTGGAGGAGAAGAACGGCTCCATGGTGTGAAAACGGCTCGAAAACCCTCGATTAACCGCGATTATTTAAAAACCGACGGTGAACTGCGGTTATTTCAGGTGAAACCACAGCAACACACCGTAAAAACCGACGGTTAAGCTCACAGTTAACCAGAAATAACCGCGGTTAACCATCGGTTTTCTTGAAAAATAGATAACATGGGGAAGAGCGTAGAACTTTAGATGTTTTTTTAGTGCCTATCAGAAGAATGAGAGTGTTTTTTTTAAGACGAGAATTTGTGTACATATATTCAGTGAATACGTTCACTTTCATGTTTAATAGGTAAAATATCAGAGCATAATATTTTTAGGTCATTATATTTAATGGTTATATTTTTAAGGGGTATATGACCTAGAGTGGTATTTTTTATTCACAAAAAGGAAGGAAGTCGATAAGTGCAAAATCGATCACCTCCCAGAGAACTATTCTATATAGGGATCTGATGTTGTTTCTCTCCGGCATTAAAAGTGATACATTTCTAGACCTTAAAAAACGCTTTCTAATGCTCCTTGGCAAAATTTTCGCACTCAAAACTCTCGCTCGCTAGATAAACTAAACTTAGAGTATTTCTATTATTTAACCTCTTTTGTCCACATAAAAACTCAACTATTATATACCATTCGATAGGGAATTTCACGAGGTACAAAATGCTTTATAGGCTATTGTGAAGAAAATGTAACTGAGTACACTAACATCTAAAATATTCTATAGTGTCTCAGTAGGTCAGCAAGGAAAACCAGATCATGTGTACAAATTTTTCAATAGGATTGTATTCATTTTCTTCCATAGGCTGGTAGCCCGAGGTCTTCTCTTCAAAACAGGAACCAAGCGAGACCTTAACTTTCCGCGGCTGAGGCATTGTATCAGATTCCCTACCAGCTCCACGACTAGCACCCAGTAACTATTAGATAGGTTTGTACGATCAAACAAGACGTTAGAGACGACATCCAAAGTGAGTGCGAGTTTTCGGTAATATATATTAATTAAGAAGTTTCTCTTTTGATATCTAATCTCTAGAAAGAAATGAGCAAGCGTTTCTCGTACAGCACCACGGAGACAACATGGTCGAGTACGAAGTTTACATTTTTCTAAATGATCATTTAACTGAGTAAAACCAACTCGATAACGAAGAAAATCTATCTGTCTCTGACATACGATTAATTACAGACGAAAGTTTAGTTTTTAAGGAGCGCAAATTTTTCATTTAAAATTTAAATGCTAAATACTTATTCTAAACTTTAATATCATTTGATAGATTGATTGTTTCACAGTTTTATCGTTGAAGGAATGAATATTTTATCCAAATACTCGCACCCTCGTTTAGCTATCGGAATCAGATTGTGTTCGATTGCGTAAGACATGACAGTGCACGATATTTTTCGGAAGTAAATCTTGCAGACAAATTTCACCATTCATGATTTTATGAAACAGACATAATCGATGTATGGCGAAGAGACTGTATTTCGTTGTATGAATTATTTAATGCACTAGATAAATAATTTATATAAATTAAAAACAATAAAGGTCTAAGAACGGAACCTCGAAGCACAGAACATCGTATTTTTCTTAAGCCCCTCCCCTCCCCCGCATCAGAAATGCCGATTTTCGTCAAAAATATAGACTTTGAGAAAAGCATATGGCTGGATAGCCCATAGTGTCTACTTTCTAATGGCATAGGATAGGTTTTTCATAGGTTTTGAGCGAGTTTCCAGAAGTCTCATAGCAAAAAAAAATGCCTTTTTTGCTCTTGTATTGCATAAGCGCAGGCATGTGTCGCACATGTTCATTAGATCCGCCATGGCCGATAACCTATAGCAGAATATCAACAAATTATTTAATACTCAAAGAGTTTTTAAGTAAAACGCATTTAACAGAATCAAAACTTATTTTGCGTTTTTCTTAAGACTGCTTTTTAGCTTCAGGGCTTTCGCCACGTGCAGGAGTTCTCGGTAACGGTACATCGGAGAAAGAGATTTTTTGTTTTCATTTGTAGATAACACCTATAGGTAGGAGTTGATAGAGTCCGATTTTTAAATTATGCTTTCATTTTTTATAGAAATGAGGATTTCTAAGAAACCTTCCAAGGGTTTTTCGGATTTTGAAGTTCTATTAAGCACCAGAAATCAGTAAATGAGAAATTAGTTAGAATGTGGCGATCGATTAAGCAACTTTCAAACTATTTTAGCAAAGCATTAGGGATACCAACATTGTATAGCTTATATACGAGGCCGTCATGAATGACCTTATCAAATGCTTTGCTAAAAGCAACGGAAGCCGCTAACGTTGAAAACCCTTCATTAAAAGCTGTGGCTGTTCTATAAGTATATTCTCACTTGCTGAATGACCGATCTTTCAAAAAGTCGACTTGATTGGCGTGAAAAAATTTATATGAACGCAAAAAACCACAAATGTGATTATGTACAATACTCTCGAATCCTTAGATATGCATTGGAGAAGGGTTATTGGCCGATAGTTGTTGCCAGTTAAGGGCATTATCTGATTTGGATATACTAAAAGTATAACTTAATTTCTAGTCTATGTGAAACTCTCCGATGGTGAGTGATTGATTAAACATATACGTCAATGAAGATGCAACTATCGAAGCCGCCTCACGAGTCATTCTCTCACTCATATTTAGCGCACAGGCCTTTAAAATATCGACCCTGCTCAGCAGTTCATACATTTCTGTTTCGTATATGTGAAACTGTGACATCACAATTTTCGGCTTCAGTGATTGGAAATGAGTTGTTCATAACATTTGACGCCCAAAAAACGTTCATTAAGTAATTCGATCTTTGAGCCGTGTAGGAACTAATGTTTTATTAACGTAATTCTATTTTTCTCCTTTCTAGTATTGAAGATCAGTGTTTGACTTACGAAATGAGACACTGTACAATTCTCTAACACCAGGAATAAATGTGCTGGATACGAGTACAAGTTAGAAGTTGCTTCGTACTGTGTAAATCTCACTAAAATTCTGCATAATTTTCGCTTTGTAACTTGTAATTATATTTGGTACATTTATTCTTTTTAATTTTTCACAATGCTATATCAATATATGGCTTCTTCGAACAACAAATATATAACAGTTGTCATTAGTTCAATCTTAAAACATTTGTATTTGACATAATAGACAAAATAAGAATAGAGCATCATCTAAAAGGTGTCTTGATCACATTCCGTTTCTGTTCAGTAGAATATGACAAACTTTGTCTGCGCATTCATATCTGTGTGAAAATATTTCGAAGCCGTTTAAGTAACGAGTGCATCTTAGTGTATTTATCTATACAGAGAAAAATAATGTTGCCATTTACAGCCACTTCTATAATATTTGTGACATCGTTCTGTTTTAGAATGTTTCTATGTCAGATAACTACTACCGTGATTAGAAAAACAATTTTTTATTGCAATTAGATCAACCGTGCAAACAGTTTTCAAGAGAACTGAGATTATATAAAATTAGAACGCATTACTTTATAACACATGCATTTTGTATGAACACGAAAAATCCAAATAATTTTTTTTTCTTTCTTAGGTGATTATTATGTCTTGAATGGAAACAAATTTTGGATAACCAATGGACCAGACGCCGATGTACTTATTGTGTATGCTAAAACAAATACTTCAACAGAGAAACCACAACATGGAATTTCAGCATTTATTATCGAAAAGGTTTGTGAGATATTTTTTTTGTATAATCGAATAGAATGTGTATGTATTACTTCTGCAGGATATGCCTGGTTTTTCAACTGCACAAAAATTGGATAAAATGGGCATGCGTGGATCGAATACGTGTGAATTAATATTTGAAGATTGCAAAGTACCTGGTATGAATGTCTATGATCATCTTGTAATCATTATCTCTTAAATCTTTCTATTCTTTTTTAAAGTAAAAAATATTCTCGGTAAAGAAGGACGAGGTGTTTATGTTCTAATGAGTGGTCTGGATTTTGAACGATTAATATTGGCTGCAGGACCAGTAGGGTTAGTTAAAGCGATATTACTTTTCTCTTTGTGAGCTATTTTATCTTATTCAGCAAATTTTAGATTAATGCAAGCGTGTTGTGACGTTGCTTTTGAATATGCTCATGTTCGAAAACAATTTGGTCAACCAATTGGAACATATCAGGTTTGTGTGTGTGTGTGTGTGTGTTGAAAGTGGTATACATTCTGTTTCTGTTTTCCAGTTGATTCAAGGTAAAATGGCTGATATGTATACGACACTCAACGCTTGTCGATCGTATTTATATAATGTTGCACGAGCTGCTGATAAAGGAAATAGTAGTAATAAAGTAAATACATACGTTCGCGTCTCGATCCTTAACATTCATACTCATTCATAGGATTGTTACAGGATTGTGCCGGTGTTATTTTGTATTGTGCAGAAAAGGCGACGCAAATGTGTTTAGATGGTATTCAAATACTAGGTAGGTGATATAGATTTTAATGTTTTATTGTTATCCAACCCACTGGAAGGTCTTTTTCAAAGCTCTGCGTCGAAAAAGCCTTGCGTGGTTTTTTTCAAGCAACACGATCAAATGATTCACATCTTTTCGCATGAAAATTTGACGAAAAAATAAAGAAATAATTGTAAATGAAAAATTCTCAAATTTTCAAAGGATAGGGTAGAGCCAGGGCTCAACAACTTTTCACAGGGTAAGGCAAGGGCTCCGTAAACAGTTACCCTGCGCATCTCTAATCTGAAGACTTAAACTAGCTTTTGCTTTTTGTGATGTTATAGCGTTTTTGAGGAAATAAGTAGTTTCTATGATGTAATTAGTTCTATTTTCAAACTTAACCGAAAAACTGTCTTTTTCTTGTTTTGTTAATAAACGACTGAATCATTAACAGAATAATCGTTTTAAACATAGAAAATTGGTCGAACGTTCTAGATGGATAACTCCTATCAAACATTATTAACGACAACCAATTATTTTGAACTTGAAAAAAATGCATGAATCTTTTCGCGTATGGTACAGGTTACTGTACGTGCAGAAAAATCCTTCAGGATCACGAAGGATTTGTTCAAGCACGGAATAGCCTACACGATGCTTGAAATGTTTTCCCCACCTCTGATCACGTAGGATTCCTAAAATCTTTTTCCAGTGGGTATAAAAAAGTTGTTCTTGTAGGTGGAAATGGTTACATAAATGATTATCCAACCAGTCGATTATTTCGTGATGCCAAATTATATGAAATTGGCGCTGGTACAAGCGAAGTGAGACGTGTATTAATTGGAAAAGCACTTAATTCCGAATATAATCAATCAAGAAAACAATAATACGTTTTTTAGTTGTTTTATCTTATATACATGGTTCTTCGCTATGAGAGAAAAGAATTCATCATATTTTTCTCGTAATTTGTTTAGTTTTTTGTGCACAGGAATTTTTTGCGTAATGTTTGTAACAGCATTTTTGAGAGACTATTTTGTTAGTACGTTTTTTATATTTCTTATTCAGATGGTTTTTCTTTTCATCACGGAACGGGTTTTCTATCCTGTTCAATGAATTTGTACGTAATATAACTTGAACGTATGATTTTCTGGATATCATTCCCGTACTGAGAAAAAACCAAAGTCAAATCCGAAATAGTTTTTAGAAAGAAAAGATGTAACGTACATATATTTAAGAAAACCGAACCTTCTTCTGAAACTTCTGAAAAGAAAGTAGACATTATGTATTTGGTAAATGATGGAATAAAAAAAAACAGTAATAATCATTGGGCACAGGAAAAAGAAGTGAACTTATTCGGACAAAACAAAGTAAAGAAACAATGCTGCGTTATCTCAATCTTCATCGAGATATTATTTTCTCCATGTCTCGACTATATATAGAAACATCGACTTTGGAAAGGTTCTATTAAATCTCTTTTTTTCTTCAGGCAAATGATGAACCTGATATAGATCGTGAATTTTCACCCGTTTCCTCCTATAACATTAGGAAGAGTGAACATTTTTTTTTATCATTTTTTTTTTATTCTTAATTAAAAATCCTGTTCGCTTTTGTCCACAATCAGTGCGTATTAAAAAGTAATGATTATTAATCTGTTCAAGTTTTTAATATTATGACTTATATCAATGCATACGTATATAAACTATTCGCGTGATAGACAAAACAAAATTTTCCACTTTTCTTTCTTACAATTGCTTTGAAGAAAATATGCATAAATCATGCAACATGTTCAACAAAACCAACACAAGCGTACATCAAGCATAATTATCCTAGAAATTCCTTAATTTGAAAAAGTACACATGGGGGGATTTACAAAACCAAACACATTTAGTTCAATTAATAATGAAACAATGACAAATATTCCATAAACCGCTAGAAAAAATAGTCCTAAAAACTTGTCCAAATACCATTTTCGACCGTGAAAACTGATCACCTGAATATTAACAAAAAGTTTATGATAGCTTGATTACCCAATTTTCTGTTTTATAGCACAAACTCACCGTCACTGCAACAATACCGAGTAATATAACGGAATCATACTTAAGACCATTACTGTTTATATGCACGGGTTCACCACTTGTCAAAGTTTTGATGAACCACGGCAATGCTAAACCAATTAATAGATCAAATACATTACTCCCAAATGTATTTGATACGCCCATGTCTACCAGTCCTATAGTATAAATGACACTGAAAAATATAGTGTATTTTATTTAAATAATTTTTTACCTTGACGTACGACGAATACACTAGATAATGCATCCGGAATACTACTTCCAGCTGCTAAAAACGTAATTCCCATCACACTATCAGGAATACTGAACGTATAACCAATAACTGTTACCTAGAATAATTAAAATAAATTAAAGTTTGATAAAATTTCTTCACTGAACTTCGTTCTAACCATCCAAACCATAGCGTAAGATAATATAGCTAACCAGACGATAGCCATGGAAAATGTTATCGGAAACAATTTGCTCCATCTGTAAAAAGGAGAGAAAAGAAAAATTATCTTTATATTTATTTATTTATTTTATCTACCTTGGATTTCTACAATCTGGAATGGTAAAATGAAATATTACTTTAATGGGTAGCAGTCCTAACCATTTGCAAAAATTCATCGGCTCATATTTCCAATTTGGTACATCTTTCCAACTTTGATAATTTTCATCACCCGTCAACAAACTGAAAGTATATCAACAATAAATAAGAACATCAAAAATATCTTTCACTCACCTTGGTGTTCTTCCTTGATAAAATGAAAATCGTCTTTCGGTTGCCGGTTTCTGTGGTCTACTTTCACCTTGACCTTGTCGTAATCTCATCTAAATGAACTATAAATAGTTTAGTTTATTTAAAATTGCTTCTCTAAGAAGATGAAGGTACTTCTGTAATAACAAAACGTGTTGCCATTCTAAAACGTGTTTTTGGTCGGAAATGATGTGTCATCATTATTTTCAATACGGCTGTTTCGAAATCAATATCAAAACGTGACATGGCAATTAGATCATCGATTGGTACTGAATGTTGTTGTTGCATATTATCATCAAAATTTATATCATTATCAAAAGGTTCTGTTTCAAATAGAAATCAATAGTGATCATAATAAATAGTCAAAATTCTCACTTACTATAGGTATTCTCTAATCCATATGTTTTTTGAGTTTGTGCATAAGTCATTATTGGTTCAGTTAACATACCAGCATCAGATTTGAATAAGGACCAACGATGAATTATCAAATGTTGCAGACGTTGGTTATTACTGCGAAATCAAATATGACTATTATTACAGTAAAATGAATATGATAATTAAACTTACCACATAATAATAATGTACACAACATACATTATTAATAGAATTGCTGATTCGATTGTCGTTACTCTCCCATCAGATAAACACTTGAAAAACGTGTTTAGATATTAATATAATTCAAAAACTAGTTTGAATAATTTTATACATACAATAACTAATATTATTATTGATAATGCATAATATATGGAATCTCGACATAATGGCCACCATGTCAATTTAACTGCCTACAAAAGATATAAATCTCACATCTTTCATGACTATTGGAAGAAGTTAGCAGTTCGAACCCCAGTCACAAAAAGCCCACAAATTCCAATCACACAGACAATATTAAATACGGCTGAACCCACAATCGTTCCAACTCCAACATCGCCTTTTGCAACAAAGATGCCTTTAAAAAAATGAGAATTAATTGATTTGATCAAATGAACAATAGTTGCATGTGTGTGTGTATGTTAACAATACCTATAAGAGCAATAAAAAGTTCGGGCGACGATGAACCGCCCGCCATAAACGTTGCGCCAGCAATATCTTCATCTAAGCCTAACTTCTACAACACCAAACAAAATCCAATCGTTGTTAAAATATAAGATAGCACTATAATGATAGAAAAGTTTCTCTATCTCTTAATTAAAGTTATGCAGATCAAATACGAACACCATTTTTTCATTTGATACACTGTGATCATGCACATACCAGCTAGATGCATTTTGACTATTAAAAATTTGTCAATATTTTTAAAATGAACCATGGTGTACTTACTGCACATAATTTATCTAATGCAGCAATAAAATAATCATTTACAACAATTGCTGTGGCAATAAATGTATAAAATGCTGCTAATAAATGAAACACGACAGCACCATGTTGTCGTTGTGATTGTGTAAAAAAATCATTTGGAAATTCGTTGATCGCTAATAAATAAAGACTATACTTAAAAATTGACTGTAAAAAAAATATATGAAATGAAGATAAATGTGCGTGATTGATAAATTTTTATTCTTTTTATCATTAAATTCTCAATTGTTCGTGTTTACCTGGTTCTGTGCAGTTTTTTAATACCGTGGGTGTTGTAGTTAATGTACCATATTCTTCTAAAAATCGGAAGAGTACACATGATCAATCACTTAATTAGTAGACTATCAATCACATTTTAGTAAAAAAAAATCGCATGATAAGATCATACATTTTAATGTCTTTCTAAAAAGTACCATCTATTTTTCTACTTAATCATTTTCTCTCTCTTTAATGTCTATCAGTTGTGAATTTTAAATATATATGTCATTTAACTTGTCTGTCAAATTATATTTGAACAACACATGAATAATTAGCATGAAAATCACAAATCTCAAAGGATTTATTTATATGGACATAAAAACAATAATGTCAAAGAATTATTATTATTATTAGAAAATAAGGTTTTTAGAAACTTATGGGTAAAAAAAAGTACAAATATCACACGAAAAGAAAGCGAGAGAGAGAGAGAGAGAAATGTATTTCTAGGCGGATGACAATGACAAATAACGGATTTTTTCAAAAATAAATATTTGATTTTCTGAACCGTAAATTCAAAAAAAAAGTAAGTTAGCTCGATCTTGTTTATATTAAGCGATAAAAAAATGTTTTCTATTATGTTAAACGATGAAAAATTTTATTCGTACTTACTATTTTGTCGTTTATTAGGCAACAATAATAATTGATTTTTTTTATAAGTTGGTTGAATGGTAGTTGAAATTAATTTTGCTAATATAATTGTTACTAAAAGTCTTAGAATAAATTTCAAATTATATTGTCTCACTAATCCACGACTGTTTAACATTAATAAATACAACATGATCAGGCAATTCTATGTCGATTTGTTTGAAAAATTTTTCTTTTTTACTTTGATTTCTTTTTTTCTGTTCTCGTGTTTGAATGTTGACCACAAAAAGAAAAACTCCTAATGGAAACACAATACTAAATTATCATCCTTTTGTAATCATTGTTCATCCGAAAAAAAAAAAAAGGAATAAAAACAAAAAGAAAAAAAAAAAATCACGGTTCATTACAATTAATTACAAATAGATAGATAGAAGAAATAGAAAGAGGAATGTTCTGAAAATAATATGGCGATTGAACAAATCCTTGACACAAAAAAACAAAAATGTCTGTGGGGATGATTGGTTGGAAGAAAAAAGCCTACGTTCAATTTTTTGTTTTTTTTTTAAATGTTTATAAATCGGAAAAATAGACATTAGTTTTCTTTTATGACAATTTTTTTTTCTTATTCTCTTCTATATACGCTTATAAATATATCATGATTAAACAGATCAAATCGTATAGTATAGTCATTTTTTTCTTCTTTGATTTATAGAGTAGAATACTCTAAAATTATATCTGCATATAAACATGAGATATATAGCTATATATTATATATCTCTGTAGAAAGAGGAAAAGATGGTATACGATTTGAACGCGAAAAGAAAAAAGGAAAGGGAAAATAGAAATTATATGCTTCAGAAACGCATTTTTTCTCAGTCTTTTCCTCCGATAAATGACAAACATTTTCAAATACTCTCAAGTACTTTCATGTTATTAAGCTCCTACATATGCAAGGAGTAAATATGATCTTTCAAACAGCATACTTATATTTTGTGCACATTTAAAATTTGGTTTAATACATTGTTCGTGCAAAAAAAATTGAACAAGTCTATATATATATATATATAGGTTATATATATATAGGTTCTAATATGAAGTCTTTAAAATTTTATCTATTTGAGTGTTTAAACATCTTTTTATTGTTCAGCGATTGTCCTTTGTCTGTCATGAATCTATATTAAAGCTAAGTAGAGATATTGTTTAGCAAAAAACCTAATCGAATGTCGAAAATATAATCCTAATCTACTTTCATAACTCTCTTGATCTATGCTGCTCCTTGATCTATGTTACTCTTTATTATTTTCCCAATAAAAGTAGATTATAAAAACTGAGTATAGTAATTAGTATTTAGTATTAGTAGTAGTACTGAGTATAGTAAACTCAAATCAACACAGCTTTTAGAAATATGCTCATCCGAAATACCATTTGACAAACATGTAATATATACAGAAGATTTTATTCAATTTCTTATAACCGGTGACGAAATCGTTTTGTAATATACATGTGTTACTATGACTTTCTAAATATTATTGCTGTGTTTAGTAAAACTTTAGTTATAGGATTAAGACACATTTCAGTTTTAATATTAGTTTAATAGTTCTTTTTTTAAAGGTTTCTAATTGATATAAAATGTTTGAATCAAATAAGATGTTAACACAGTGGGGAAGAGAACAAGATGAAGATGATCCATACGAGACTAAACTGATAAGAATGACAAATCAATTATCATATAAACGGGTTAAACAACTTGATACGGATAGATATGAATTGTACGGCGTCTCAAAAACCATACAAATACAACTGGCACTGTTAATTAATAATTTAATTGAATATGCAAATGAATTAACATATTTCTCCTTCAACCATCGATGTAACCGGTTAAGATTTTTGTCGACCGGTAACTGATTTAAAAGGTTTGGACCGGACTGGATCGGTCAAGTACGACCGGCTGCCGGTCAACCGGCCGGTTTACGTCTTTTTCGTCGACCGGACCGGTGTAGACCGGTTTAAACCAGCCAGTCACCGGTTACCTTTCTGCCTTCAACGCATTTCAAACAAGTTCACTCAAACTTGTGCAAATAAATACATAAATACGATTTCAACAGTTTTGTGTGTCACGTGCATGAGTATTCTATTACAATTTGGATACAGAATTTGATGAGTATGTGAGAAAAATGCGTAATTTATGTTGAATAACACAAAGAACATTTTTGGATTTGAGAGCAGCACGCATCCAATTTTCAAAAGCAGTTATGTTGAATTTACCGATCACACGTCGTTCACTTAACATATTGAAATGTAATATTGAAAGAATAAGCGCTTTAAACAACAAATCAGAGCATCATTTAGCATTCGATTTATTAGTGGCAGATTTTGAACTATTAATATGTGAATTGGATAATGAAGTTCGTTTTAATGATGCTATGATACTACAGATATTTATCAAGCTCCCTTTAAGTTGTTCCAATTTACATTCAGATGGCTCTATCTGGCTGCTGAATTTACTGTCTATCGTGCCAGTGATCAAGTCGTCGATTAGAAAGCGTGGTAGAGCACAAAGACATCCAAAATAGATTATTGTAGATCAACAAGAAAATATGCCTCAAAATCATCATCACTCCAATAAATTTATAAATTCATTGAAGGATGCTGTATCTGCCTCTCAAAATACATCTGCATATCGTCAGTCGACAAATGTCGTTGTCAGACCAGCAACAGGTCGTATATCACATTCATAATAGTAGCGTGATCTCTAGACAAAACTTTATCACTCAAAACAATACCGGCGAAACAAAATCAAAAATTTTATGTGTCATCGAATTTGGATACAAGGAATGACTAACTATTCATCACAAATGAGAAAAAATTAAAAATTAAAATCGTTAGCTACCTTTCAAAGATAAGACATAAATTATATTGATTCATTATCTACTACTGATACATTCTGACACAAATATTTCGCAGATGAAAAATATCTCGACTAAAATAACAACTTGAAGTTATTATTAAAGGTAAAATATTGCAAGATAGATGACTTACGCATCAACCTACGAGTGATACACTTTCATTACTTTTTCGCCATCAATGATCTGCATATTCTTCTTTCGATTCTTTGCAAACGAGACATTTAGAATTAGGCAAAGACAATGATGTGTCCAATCCTCCCAAATAATTCAACAGTCGTCTGAGAATTATATTACAATGACAATAAGTAAAAGTCTAACGATATACTATAACCCCAAGTCGGCTAAAGCAAGGCCAGTAATCGAAGATTTTTGGCTCAAGAGAAATTACTGTATATAACAACGATTCATCATCTTTGTTATTAAAAGACAACAACTATCAACCGCTGTATGATTAGTAAGAGAAAGCCAAATGTAGGACAAATTAAAGAGAAGAAAACGAATGAAATAGAATATAATTAAAGAGTAAATTAGAGTCTGCATAATTTTTAATCATAAGTTAAGACATCTTTAGAAAAGAGAACACTTGATTTCAGGCACTCCGAAAATTTCTTGATCTGTTCTTCAGACATGTAATCGTCAAATTCATTAACTTTCTTCCGCAACTTTATCTACTGCTGTGCAATAACTGTTTTTACTTTTCAGGTTTTAACATCTTTTTTTACAGAAACGTTTTTCAAATTTATACATTTGCCACATAAAAATTTGCAAAAATTTCAGCAAATAAACGTTTTCATAAAATTCTTGTTCGGTCATTGAAAGAAAGAACCATTTTCTTGTCGCACATCTACTACACTGATAGATGGGGTACATAGCCAATCATAAATATGACTCATTCACGTATTGGTCGAGAAGAATCAGTCAATTGCTGATAATAATTAACTGACGTTCACTCGCTCGTTAAGTCAGCAAAATGAATCAAATCTATCATCATTTTCTAACTCGAATGATAATAACCTCTCTTATTGTCTCACATCGTTGATGATCCATAACTTATGATGTTGTGAACCAGTTGAAATTTCCTGATTTAACTTCAATCTGACGAGGGAACCTCAGTTAGTGATCAATCGCTTTTCCTCGAAATATACTTCATCAGAGGCAATTTTTAATGCAGACTCACGAATCGGATAGTCGTTTCATCGCTTAATTTAATGGGAAACTCGAATTTTTCAGCTTTTATTGCAGTGAAATTTGTATAACTCTAAGGAACTGATTCATTAGTCCCAAAAACTTTTCTACAGGGGTACTAGATATTGACAAAATTTCGTCAAAATCTAAAGTGGAATCCTGCGTCTTATCTGAACCGTTAGTCTAACTTCACTTTGGAAGTTAGGGTACTTATACAGATCGATCACTTCCCTACCACTACTATCATTCACCCTCAGAACTACCGCCGCTTACTTTTACCACTAGGGAGGTGGTCGATCTGTAGAAGAATCGATAATATTCTTATATCTTATAAATCAACATATTCTTATTAAATCTTTTTCTGCAGTTCCATCAATCAACTTGTTTGTTTTGTTTTTCTGACACCTATGTCCGAGTCCGAAGTTGTTGTAAGTTAAGAGAAGCAAGAGACGAGTTTATACAGGCTCTGATGATATTTTACAAATTTAGAAACTCGATTTTACATCGTTAGAAATATGGCCGGCAGATTCGTCTTCATCATTGCCATCGTTTGATCCAGAATGTTTATGTGTTTTAGTAGGTATGATGTGATATTAAATTTTAATGTAATACTAATTTTGGCTTCTTCTTTTCAAGGCTCATCTGGCATTTTCGAAATTAAGCGTATCCGTTCGCTCTGATCTCGGATGGTTAAATTTTTATAAAGGTGAGTGAGACAAGGAACTTTTTCCTCTTGTTTATTGTAAAAAAATTTCTTCTTCATTAACAGAGCGATTGCCCATTTTGATCGGAGATGATAAGATCAAGATAGCCTTTGGATACGAAGATATCGTGTGTTATTGTAAAAAATCGGTAAGCGGCGATAATTGCTAAATCTAAATGTTGTAAGCCTCATATGATTTTCTCTCACATTTCAAATCTGTAAAAACCTGTTTCGCTAGTTTTGAAAGCTTCGTCTCCGCTCCGCTATAGGTGTGATTCTGTATCGTTTTAGCATATTGATATTGATGATCAGTACCCTGAACAAGGAGATCTTCTTGCACTGACAGCATTAACTAAATCAAATTTTATTCCAGCTGTGGTAAGGATTTAAAAGATTTGTCTCTTCTTTTGATGTTTCGATTCTGATTTATTTTTATAGTTAGACACTTTCTGGCTTGATGAAACATACCGACGAGCGGTGATTGACACTCAATATTCAAAAGTACTCAAAGGTTTTCCATTAAGTTTCATTTATGGAAAACAAGTAACGAATCAGTTGAAAAATAATTTTTTTTTACGACGATTTCAAAATGGAGTACATCCAATAAATGAAAGTAATCTTGAACAAATTAGGAAATCGGTAAGTTTCCCCATTGATCGGATTATCTTGGTTACAGACTGTTTTTGTCTATTTTGATATAGATATTTATCAAAGGAAAAGAAGCCATTGATCTCCTAGCGGTTCAACTTGGAACGAAATCATTCTTTTTTGGAAGCAAGTATGTAAACTCAATATCTCACAGACCCCTTTTCATGTCGATAATGGAAACAAAGAAAGAAAATCATCGCACAGGATGCGCGCGCAGTGTCATGAAATTCTTGAAAGTTTGTAACGGTTTTTTTACTACAGACAAAAGAAAACTTTTCTGTGCTAAGTTTTTTCCAAAAATTATTTTATTTTCTAACATTGGCGATCGCTATATTCTAAAATATTGAAAGAAATTATTTTTTTACTATAGTTCATCTTATAGAGCAGTACTTACAACGAATTTGTATTTTTATGCATATAATTTACAAATTGACAAAATATTTATTTATCGTATTTTTTAGCCCGTCAAGCTTCGATTCTCTGATATTTGGATATTTAGCTGCGTTGATAAAAAGTCCAGCAACTGCAAACAGTCCACTGGCGCGTTATGCAAGTAATCACACAAATCTTCGAAGTTTTGTCGATCGAATATCGATCAACTATTTATACCGATCAAGTATGATCTTATCTTTTTTCTTCTTAATAAATATTGTAAAAGAAGAAGTACTTAATTTTTCGTGTTTGTAGAACCGTATGACGAACAAGTATTATCAACCGAAAATGAACCAAATGTTAAAAACACAACATCAAAACCAAAACAAGCATCAGAGGAACGTTTAAGAGATAAAATAGCTGTTATCAGTATTGGAATTTTAACATTATGTGCCTATGCTTATTTATCTGGTCTCATTCGAATTGAAATACACGAAACTGAATGATTAATTTCTTTCTTTCTTTCTTACTTTCCTTCCTTTCTTTCCTGTTCAGCGTGTGTTTTTGTTTACTTGTGGTCTTTTCAAATAGAAAAACTAAACTCAGAATAGTGTTTCGTTTAATTTAAAAAAAACTAATTATTGGAATTAGAAATTTTCTTTTTTCAAGAGGTTTTGCTGTGGGTTGTACCTGTACATTCTGTCGAAAATCAAATTATACCTACAACTTGTTATTAGAAACCCTCTCATGAATGAAAGTTCAACCATCACTGGTTTTCAGAAAAAGTTATGAGTGCCTAGTTTAGATATGTGTAGACTCAGTCAAGTTCTCATAGTGATGCATGCGGATAAACATCCAGTTGATCAAAATTCCGTATCCTGTTATGAATTCATAACAAAACCGGATCCAACAGCAGCATACGTGTAAAAAAAGTACTTTTACAAAGGATTAATAGAATTTTTTATGTTAACCCGAACTTTTCATCTCAATTTTTGTTTTTTTACGCTACAACATCTCAACCAATACACATCCCTGGTCTAAATTAGCGAGAATGGGGCAAATTGTACAATATGGTATAGGCGCAGAAACTCAGTTACCAGTTCGATTTACTTCCACTTCAACTTTACTATGTTTCATTCTCAAAGAAAAGATTTCAGAAGATTTCTTTATCACGTTCAATAATAAAGAAGATGAAAGTCCTTTTTTTCTATAGTTTTCAGAAAATTTTCAATTGCATAAGTATCCAGGAAAAAACCTTTATTTGAAGATCCGTTTTTTCGAGGCTCTTAGAAAACTTNACCCCCTCAGAAATGGTGATTTTCGGTCAAAAAATCGGTTTTGAGATACGCACATGAAAAGATAGCCTGAAGTGTCTACTTCCAGAATCTGTACTGCTTTTGGTTACAAAAGTGGTTTTTCCGGGATTTTGAGCAAGTTTTCTAAGAGCCTCGAAAAAACGGATCTTCAAATAAAGGTTTTTTCCTGGATACTTATGCAATTGAAAATTTTCTGAAAACACAGCTTTGTAGAGCAAACGTTTCTGATCAAAATAAGACTTCGCACAACCCTGTATGACCTTGCATCGAAAAGTTACAGACATTTTCCCAGAAGTTATAAAATCGACTATTTCATACAGCGTTTAATACAGCATTTTCGCTATATAAGAGTTACACCTGAAGTGCGTTCCAAGATTTTTAATAGCGGTTTGTCGTAGAGAGTTCATTCTTTTTTTGTTTAAAAGAGGAAAAGAAACTGCATCGACTGACCGGCGTCGATTTTTGAATTAGGTCTTAGTTTTTTGTCAAACTGAGGATTTTTAGAAAATCCGGAAGACTTTTTCGGGTTTCGGAGGTTGTTAGTTGCCTGGAAAACCAATAAAGGCTTAATTGAAAAATCGGCGCCGGTCAGTCGATGTAGTTAGGTGTCTAGTTTAAAATAAAACAAACCCAAACTCTCCAGCTTGAAGTCTGAAAATTTTTGCCATGATTTATCCAGATGTAAGATGTTATTATTGACTATTAAATTAGCATGATAATAATAGTTTGAATCATTTATTGTACTTTACATTTAGAATTTCAAGTAAAACTGAAATGTGTATATGTTAAATTGAAAAACTATCTAAAACTAATGATACATTAATATTACATTAAACCAGATGATGTCCATATTTTATAAAAAATATATTATTTTAGAAACTACATTGATTTACAACATCGAGATTTTGTCCACCGGTAGTTGTTAACAAATGTGTTTTGTCGTGAAAAGCAACCAGATCAAATTTGATTTGTCCATCAGTTGCGTACGTTATTTGAAATCTTGTTGCAGATGTATTCGGTGGAATATCTTGAAGTGTTAGATTTTCACTATCCCAGTATAAATTGTATGCAAAATATTTTAGTGCTTCACGAATAACAGCGCCATGCGACACACATAATACATCAATATCAGAAAATGTTGAATCATAAGGCGATGGTGGTAGATACAATGGCTTTGTCGATATTATATCAGATTGAAATGAAGAATAAGATGACAATGACCTATTTGAGTCTGTTGGTGTTTGCTGTTCTACAGGACGATGATTACTGCTGTTACTACTGCCATTTATTGAATCTTCTAGAGCTGAATCGACGGATGAACAGGAAGATGAAGGTGAATGAGTTTGAGATAATTCGTCATCAAGACTAAATGTTACGCGATCTGCCATGCTGTCGACTGATATAGAGCGTTTTATTGGATGAATTTTTGTAGATAATCGTTTATGTGATGGCGATGATGGGAGAGATGTTGCTTCTGTTAGATAAGAATTATTGTTTAATATTGGAATATTTTGTACTATTGAATGTCGTTTCATATTGTTGGTTAATCCAGACGAAGATAGAAATGAAGATAAATTTAATTCACGAGGGTTTAATAATGGATAATCTTCATTTTTCAATTGATCAGTACGATATTTTAATAATTCATCGCAAAGACTTTGAAAAAATGTTGTTACTCTACTACGAACCTATAAACAAATAAAACATGTGTAGATGAATGTTTTTTAGTATAAAACTTTTACATACCTCCAGTGTAGTCTCGGCTCCTTCCGGAGTAAAGGTGACATATGGAGTGTTATTCGCTTTTGCCAACTCTCTTAACCAGTCTCGACTTCGTCCCTCGGCTATTCCAAATATCTAACAGAACGAAGAAAAATATAGGCTCGTAACAGAAACTAGGGTGCATTAGTTCGATTAGTCATTGAGTTTGAATAAAAAATTTCAGAATAAACATCACTCGCTCACCCTTTCTCGCAATACTGTGCTATATTGAATTTCACATGATGATACTTTGTTCAGTTGCATTATTTCGACAGCTGTCTAGAAAACAGATCAATAAACCGATCATAATGAGCTACGGTGATAGTTCAACTACTGGAGTACTGACAAGAGAGTCGAAATGAAAATGTTTTTTTTTTGTCAGGTTGATTTTTTCTACCGGAGTTATGAATCTTTTGAACTTTGACTTTATTTGTGACAAGTGTATAAAATCTGACTTAAAAACTTTGTAACTCTGTCAAAATAGATTTTAAAGATCGTAAGAGTTTAGAATATATGTAACTTCACATGCTCTAAAAGAAGCGTCAGGCTTCTAGCGTATTTTGCAGCAAATGCAATTTTTTTTTAAATGCTCTAACATATATCAAGATGTCCTGCAGATATCACATTCAATTTTCGATAAAATATTCATCTAAATATTCCATGCATCATCCTTGCTGTTTATGGACGGATTTTCTGATAAACTTGACATTTCCAGCTTTTTATTTTTAATCAAAAAGAGTCCGTCACCAAAACAATGTGATACTCTTGTTCTTTTTTTTTGTGAAAAAAGATTCATTTGCTTGCTGGATATTTGAAAAAAATGATTACTATGTAAAGTAGTTAGTATACATACCTCAGACGCTCTCTCCAAATCACTTGAATAGCAATGTGTGAAACGATGATTTTGTAGGTTTCTTCCTAATGCACGAGCTTGTTGATAACCAATTGCACTTAATTTGGTGTTTGTTTGACCTTGAATTATACCTTCGGCATTAGCTGATGTTTCACCACTAAAAAAAAGGTAGACTTAAGTAGCTGTTGCATTTTGTGCACCTATAGAACAATTGTCTTACTGTCTCACTAGTGTCAGATAAAACCTGACATGGTCCACATTTTTATCCACTGGTGATAAGATCGAGCTGTAAAGATAAAGCAAACTTCATCACTTTCAGATGTATGAAAAGAAGGCAAGCTCTAAATCTATAATTTATATCATCATTGAATAAACAGGAGAAAATTAGTATTATTTAAAAAAATAAATAAACAGGAGAAAATTAGTAGTATTTCCATCACGCAGTTTCGCAGGATTACCATGAAAACCCCAAAATGGCGCTATGACTGAACGCTTCGGTGTTTACTTTATATACTCAAGTATAGTTTCATCCTGAGAGATTCTTTTTTGTGGTTTCAATCGTTTTTTTAAGTTTTATCCAAATAAAATTTTAGTTTTATAAAATTTACCTGTTATTTAATAAATTTTATCAGTGGTACATTTCTTAATAAAAGTAGTGAAGATCAAAGCTAGTAGTTACAAATGAATTACAGAAGTAACAAAAACTTTCAAGGTTTTTCGAAGAAGTTGAAACTCTATTATCATTCACCTAGATGTATTTATGATGAACGAGGTGGGGTCGGTATTTATGCACCTCTATTTTCTCTTACCTCATGAGACGTAAATTTTAGTAAAGATTGTGTATATTAATTGGTGTACTGTTCAATCGGTCTATCGATTATCTACTTGAAGTTGAGTTGTTTTATTGATTTTATAATTTCAGCTTGAGGAAGAAAGAAATCACCTTGTTTATATATGTAAAAAGGAAAAATACGAATTATCATTCACATGATCTTCTGCATGACCACAGTTGGGTAAATGCGTGCAGTGTGAATGCATGAAATGAGTAATAAGCGTTAGCCAAAAAACTGTTCCTTGAAAACAAAACATCAAAATAACAAAAAAAAAGAAGCATAAGAGTAAAAAGCACATGGGTATGATATGATGTTAGATACTTGTAGACGCAGTAGTACAATTGACGACCAAAAAAAATTCGAAGTAAAAATACAATTCTAAAGTGAAGAGTCACTCGATGCTTTTCCATCTATACCTGTCTCGTGTTCTGTTTTTCTTAAAGGTGTAACTCGTGACACATATACTCGGTTGGCAGGCCTTGTTGGTTTTATTTACTGCAGGTTAAGGTAGATCAATAAACATACTTCATTGGAACGTCGAAGTTCCCCGGTAGAAGTACACTCAAAATAAAAATCACCTTAAAATAGCATGCCATGCTATTTTAAGGTGATTTTTATTTTGAGTGTATCAATTAACGCGGCGTTAATTGGTTACATTTAAGATGAATGCAGCTACCTGATTCGCAATTAAAGTACGCTTCGTATTTTAAAGTGAATGATTCATCATCCATCTTATTTTAGCTTTATTTAATATCTTGAAGGTATTTTATCGTCCTAATGCATGGGATCACAACAGCATTTAGTATAGCATGAACTATCTTAATGGTTGGAAGTAGAATGAAGATGATTTGTTTTCATTTGGCCATTTGTTATAGAAATAAGATGGATAAATCCGTTCGTCTTAAAGTACAACAGAAGAATAAAGTATAATGAATATCAATTATCCGATGATTCTTCTTTTAGAATGTAGCAAGAGAGTATGTTTTAGTTACAACTTTCTATGTATTACTTAGGGCAATCCAAAAGTAGTGTCGTCACTATCTTATTTCCTTATAGTAAGCTCAAAGAAATTTTCTTTTTTTA